AAAGAATATCTCTTTGGTTTTGAGACTTTAGTCTTTGCAACTTCAGGGATCTTATCTATGCACAATCAGCTTGTAACAGTCCAAATAGAAAGGAAAACTTGAAATCGCATCATATGACCCCTTTAAAACATCTTTATGATGAATTTGTTTATTACAAACATGCTGATTTTCATTTCAAACGGCGTTAATTGCTGAACTGGAGTTATGTGGATTACTTGTGGATTATTGTGATGTTTTTATCAGCGGTTTGGGCTCTCATTCTGACGGCACCCATTCACTGCAGAGGATCCTTTTATGAGCAAGTAACATAATGCTACATTTCTCCAAATCTGTTCTGATAAAGAAACAAACTCATCTATGTTATGGATGGCCTGAAGGCAAGTACATTTTCAGTAAATGTTCATTTCCTTGCGAACCATTTCTTTATGTAGCATAACTGTTTTCAACATTGATGATAATTAATGTTTCTAGAGCATGAAATCAACATATTAGAATGATTTCTGAAAGATCGCTGAAGACTGGAGTAGTGGCTGCTGAAAATCCAGCTTTGCCATCACAGGAATACATTACATTTTAAAATATAATAGAAAACAGTTATTTGAAATTGTAATAATATTTCACAATATTAATATATATATATCTCAAATAAATGCTCCAAACATCTGAGTAGTGTACTGTATTCCTTAGTAACTTTAGTCACCCTAGTCTTGTTCTGACATGATATCCTTTAGGAGACAACTATTGAAGAGCTGAAACATCAGTTTATCAAAAAGCAGGATGCTAAAGGATTCATTGTGGATGGATTCCCCAGAGAGATCTCACAGGCTTTCACCTTTGAGGAGCAGGTCAGATGTTCAGCATTCTGATGGTCTATACAGTACTGTATATAATCTACAGGAAAATATGTTTTTGTACATTATGGCAACGTCTGTCAATGTGAATGACCCTCATATTCCTTCAGATTGGCTCCCCAGACTTGGTGATTTTGCTTGCCTGCTCCAATCAGCAACTCCGGCAGCGTCTAGAGAAAAGAGCTTCCCAGCAGGGCCGTCCTGATGACAACACTCACGCTATTGAGAAGAGGCTAGATACTTTCAAACACAATATCACACTCATAGCCAAGTACTACCAGGAGAGAGGACTTATTGTAAGGGTAAGCTGTTCTTTGCTTATTTTTATCTTAATTGTTGAATTCAGCTGGTTTTAACAGAACGGTCTGTTCTGTTGATGATTACAGACGCGGCCTTTGTTTAAAAAATTGTCTAGTTTTATGCTGTGAAACACAATTCTGTCTCACTGTGCTTGGTCAGGTCGATGCAGATCGAGAAGAAGACGACATTTTCACAGACATTTGTACCATTGTAAAGGAGAGATTGTTCCCTAGCGACATAAATGCAGTAGGTTTTGTATAAAAGTTACACTATAAACCACAATTTGTGTTTTAAAAATCTATTTTTTGCTGCATACTTCATAAACATTATTTTTCTCCCTGCAGAGCAGTACTGAAGATCTTTAGAGGGATGTCTAAACATCCAAACAGCTGCTGCCATTAAATCCAAAATGTCAAAAGCAGCCTGCCAAACATTTTATTTGACCATCATTTTTCATCAATAAACTTGGGGGTCAGAGTCGAGGATCAGGGAAAAGGGTCAAGGAAGTAATTTAATATACTGTATAACTTACACTTGTTGTTGCCTCTATTTGTACTTCACTGTGAATCTTCTCTATACAACTTTTGCAGTAATTTAATAAGAATGACTTTTTAGAGCAGAACCTTTTTTCCCAACATTTTCTGTTTTTGTTTCTGAATTTTAATGTTGTTTTGACTTGATATTATTCATGTATATTTGGAGCTCAAGCCAGAAATAGTGGGAGTTGTTAAAAAACGCACCAAATTATAATGCAATATCACAATAACAATATTAAATGTTTTCAAACAAATTGCCTCACCTATTCCTGCAAAAACATTAAAAGGATTAAATGATTACTGATAAATAACTAATTTACTTATGAACACAACGTTTCTGGTTTTATCTTACTCCACAATATGAGCACATTGGAGAGAGACAAAAATAAAATAAATAAATACAAAAAAGGGAGAGAGAAAGAGAGTGAGGTGCTACAAATGTGTCCTCGGGCTGTGTTCTCATTAATAGATGTTCATCCCAGCTGTGCCAATTTTTCACAGTGAGACATCAGTGAACACAGACTCTCTCTGCCCTTGCTGACAGACCTTGACCGTTCACTCAAGTGCCAAAATGCTGCTACTTTAAATACTGAGGAGTACTGAAATGTAAACACACTTGTTGAAAGATGATACACAGAAATTAGTGGAAAAACAAGTAGAAAAAGTTTATTAAACATCAGGATCTAGTTCATGTAATTTCTACACTTCACATTGCTTGTACATTTTCTGGACAAAAATTCACAATTGGGCCACTAGATGGCAGGCTTTTATTCCTTAAAAATTATTTGTTCAGTACCCTCACTGATTTGAAAGTTAACTATTAGACGTCCACAATTATACCCAGTTCTGCCTTTTTAATAAATTAATATTATGAATTCTTAACTTTTGAGTATGTAAACTGATTAATAAAGAAAAAAATCTTTAAAAAAATTGCTTGGAAAAACATGAGCTCCGAGTATTCTTTTAACTACACTAGATAACATTAACCCTAAAAAGACCGTGGTATCTTTGTTTTGTGCTAAGTGTGTTTAAATACTGTGTTATAAACAGCATCACTGTGACGGAGTGCTGGTATGTGCTGCCTCTCAGAATAGATCCACCCTTATCACCTGCCTGGCAAATTACTAGCAGCACTTAGTGGCACGATAGGAGACTCCTCTATGCTTGCACAAAATACAGCTTCAGGTTTTTTAAAGTACAAATTGAATTACTGCATCTACATGTGACATAAATGCACTGTGATCTGTATGTTGTTCAGAAAATCTTCTCTTTCGCGTTCTGGACTAACATATTCAGTTTGCTTTTGGATGGTCATAGAGCTTGAACCGAATAATATCACCTTGGTGCGTTTTTTTTTACTCTTCTTAACTCTGATCTGCTGTACGCTCTTGAGCTTTTCCACTCTTAATCATTATTTTCTTTTTCACACTTTCTTTCTTCTGATGAACATAAAAGAAGATATTTTGAGAAATGTTTTTTGTCTGTACAATGGAAGTCAATGGTAACCAAAAACGTTACCAACATTCTTCAAAATATCTTCTTTTGTGTTCCATGGAATAAAGAAAGTCATACAGGTTTTGGAACGACATGAGGGTGAGAAAATTATGACAATTTCACTTTTGTATAAACTAGTCTGTATGTCTTAAAAGGATAGTTCAATGAAAATTATGTGTTAATCATTTACTCACCTTCATGTCATTCAAAAAAGGTTGGATAGCTTTTAAATTGGTATTCCCCCAAACTCTTTACATACAGTATTAAAAAGTGAGTGACATGTGGCCAAGTATGGTGACCCATACTCATAATTAGTCAGAACCCATCCAAGTGAACACACACCCAGAGCAGTGAGCAGCCATTTTTTTGCTGCGGCGCCCGGGGAGCAGTTGGGGGTTCAGTGCCTTGCTCAAGGGCACCTTAATCGTGGTATTGAAGGTGGGAGAGAGCGCTGGTATTCACTCCCCCCACCTACAATCTCAACGAGACTCTTGGGTTCTGAGTATGAGACTCGAACCGACAACCTTTGGGTTACGAGGCCGACTCTCTAACCTAATTAGGCCACGACTTCCAACGTAGCTGACCTTGGCACGGTTATGAGACAACAAATCAACAAATCATTCTTTTTAGATCTTTTCGGTTGATCTAGTTAACAAAACTGAACAGAATGATTTGTTAATGAATCAAACTGATTCGGTTCAATTCGGTTCAAGTTCAATTCACCCACATCGATCAATCATCTGGAAATGAACATTATCAGTGAATAATGACTTACATCTTGGTCTGTTTCTCACATAAATATGTGATATGTGAATAAACAAATTTTCAATTTTAAGTGAACAATTACTCTAAGGTCTGTATGCTAACATAATTTTCCTGTTGATAAAAAGCCAAAGAATAATCTATTTTGTAACAGGGTTTCATTTAAAGCTGACTTAGGGCTATTCAAAAACATTTATTGAATTTGTTCATTTCAATGAGGTAACAGGGTTGTGGGTCTGGTTTTATCCACTGGACAGAAGCATTTCAAAATGGTATGAGCAGCACTCAAGTCTGTTCCAGTTCATTTCCTTATATAGTCTGCCACTATTCCAGTTCTGATAAGGCTTATCACAGTTAATATAAAAGCCCAACAGGGGCTCTTACAGCACATTTCCCAGCTTTTCCCATCTGCACTCTCAGCATCGGCATTATGGCACCGAAAAAAATTGAACCCAAGAAACCAGAGCCTAAAAGACCTGAGCCGAAGAAAGAAGAAGCCCCAGCTCCTGCCCCAGTTCCAGAGACCCCCAAAGAGCCCGAGCTGGACCTGAAAAGTATCCTACTGGAATTTACCGCTGACCAGATCGAAGAGTTCAAGGATGCCTTCACTCTCTTTGACGAGACACCAACGGGCGAGATGAAGATAAGCTACGCTCAGTGTGGAGACGTGTTGAGGGCCCTGGGTCACAACCCTACCAATGCTGATGTCCTGACTGTGCTGGGGAAGCCCAAAGCTGAAGATATGAACACCAAATACCTGGACTTTGAGACGTTCCTGCCCATGCTGCAGCATATCTCAAGAGCCAAGAACCAGGGGACATTTGAGGACTTTGTTGAGGGTCTGAGAGTCTTTGACAAGGAAGGAAATGGAACAGTGATGGGTGCTGAGCTCCGTCATGTCTTGGCAACACTTGGGGAGAAAATGACAGAAGATGAGGTGGACCGTCTGATGGCCGGACAAGAAGACGCCAACGGCTGCATTAACTACACGTCCTTCATCAAGCACATCCTCTCTGGGTGAGCCGGAGCTGCAAAGATTGCCGAATGAAATTGGAACTCTAAATGGCAACTGTCAAAACACTGGAAAGAACATATGTCTTGTCTGTATGTCTTGGAAAGCATCAAATAAAAACTTCTGAATTTTTTGGCCCTGTTAATCTTGTTGTTGAGATGTCAAACTCAGATGTGTGTAAAAAAAGGAAGGTAAAACATGATCTACAGTATGTACTCTAATAAAGGTGCCAGCAAAGACAAAAAAAGGAGTTTTGGCAGTAATGTCCTTTAAGTATTTTTTTTGTGCCATAAACAACCTATCCAACAATTAGTTCCTGAAGTGTGTGAGATTTTGCTTATCCGCAAAGCGTTTGTCAGATGTTAAATAGACTTTTAGACAAAGTCTTTAGGATGTTAATGATTTATAATGTATGTAAACCTTAAAGACGTTAGGCCTATCAAATGTTTGTACACAGCAGATGCTTTCCAGACAAAGCACTCTTTAAAATATATACTGGTGATATACCTGTGCTGTAACATTCATACTACACACATTCATACTATATAGAATGTACATTTAGTAGATATTAATTCAAAAGAAGTACCTCAGAGAGTATGCTATTTCGGATGCAGCCATGTCCAACAGCATACTTTTCACTCTTTGTATCACTGTGCTTGTCTGTGTTTCTGCACTAAGGAACCCCCCACATAACATGATATTATAGCCACGAATTAAGAATTTGTTCCCACGACTTTTTAATTTGTGGCCCACGATTAATTAATCCGAATGCCCCGATTCATAGTAACGATATCTTTTTTTATCCACATGTCATGTGCAGGACTCCATAGCGTATAAAAATAGAGAAGCGGAGTGATACAAACAGTGAACAGTCCCAGTGCTGTTACATCATTAAAACATTAAGTGGAGACATTTTTTTTTATGAAAGACGCCATTGAATTTCTTTTAAAAAACGTCGATTCATTCAACAAGGTACTGCTTTTATGAATGAATCATTGAATCATTCAACCGATTCGTTCGAAAACACTGATTCATTCAGGGAAGTTGATGCTGTTTGTTTCTCGGAGTTGCGCAACGGTTCAGCTGTGGGTTGTTTGGAAATGTCTTCATTGACGGAGCAAAAACAGACAAAGGTAATGTGTGTTCAAGTTAGGTAATATCATCTTTTTAAGTGTTGTTTAAAAACAAGATCACAGATCGCTTTAATTCTGTTGGTAAATATTATCCTCCTGGACCTAGGCATAGACTTTGGTCCTCTGAGGACATTATATTTTAGTGAATTTCTCTGTGTCCATGCATGTCACATTTTTAAGTCTGGATGTCCTGTACAGAGCACATTCAGGGCTTTTTAGAGATATCAAATGTTTGGAGGTTTGATCATAATCACTCCCTCTCCTCTCCCTAGAAAAATGTTATGGGGTTTCAAATCGGAATATGACTTTTTGTTACGAAATAGGGCATCATTTTTATACATGTCTTCTGTAGAGGACACCAGGAAAAAAACCATGTTAATCAGGCATTTTGGGGAAACACAACAAGTCAATAGGAAAAGAAATTATAAATCAGTATTCCTATGAAATATGAGATATTCTTATGAAAATCTCGACAATTTATTACTCATTATAACACTTCTTTTTCATTATGGTTTACCCCAAGAACACATTAATATGCAAATTAGATCCAATAGATACATTGTATAGAATGGGAATACCAACTTATGGACATTTTATGCTCACATACTGCATAAAGTAAAATAGTAAATCAAATAATTCTGTTATATCTTTCATAACATAGTTGAGAATCATCTTTGTACAAAGTTTGGTTAAAAATAGCCTGAAACCTAAAAACTGATTGGTGAATGAAAAAATAGTTTTTGCCTATACATGTCTTTTCATGTCTATTTACTCTTTTGAATAACTAAGTCCTGGCATCCTCTACAATGGACATAAAGTAAAATATGATTCACCCCCCCCCAAAAAAAACAACCAATGTAATGACAT